TTTGACAGTTTTGATTTATTTAAATTTTTAAATAGATGATTTTTAAAAGTATTTAATAGATTAAATACAAATAAATGAATATAAATTTAAAAAATTGGAATAATAAAAATAAACAAAAAAAGATGTTTTAAAACAACCAAACAAAAAAAAGAAAACTAAAATATGACTAGATAAAATATTTGTTGTGCTATACGTAGTATAATACAATAAATATTTTATATACATATTTTATATACAATACAGTATATATTTATATTGGGTGTGTGCAAATATAACTTAATAATTTAAAAAAATTATGCATGTTTAGATAATAAATACAGATTATGCATTTTATTTACAAAACTTATAATTTTGTGTATGCTATTTAGGTTATGCTATAATCCTTATCATTTTGTGATATTTAAGTTAAGATTTATTTTAAGCACTTTTATAAATGAAGTAATCAACATTATTAAAATTGCACACAATTGTTGCAAAGTTTGAACTAGTTTCACAAAATATACTTATTATTTATGAATAGAATTCTTTACAAAATTTAAGAATATATTAAAGTTTTTTTAATCAAAGTAATCAACCACAGAAAAAAATATTTTGCGATTTTTTTAATATCAAGTTAATAAACAAAACATTTTTACAAAAAATCTGCTTAGTGTTGTTCTGAGTTTAACCATTAGAAAAGTTTTTCTTACAGTAGTTTAAGTAGTTCATAGGTTGTACTCTCTTTGAATAAAATTTAAATAGATCTTAATATATTTAAATAATCATAAAATTTAATATTTTAAGTTGTTATTTGTTAAAATCCTGTTTAATAATTAGAATTTTTAGTAAAGATACTCATTTTAAGTGCTATTTTTAAGTTGTTTTTTAAGAAAAATCTTTGCTTAAGTTTTTTATTGTTTCAATGATTACTTCCCTGTGAGAAATGAGCTAGCGACTAGCTAGCTCTATAACAATTTTCAAGCGATTTTCTTTTTTTTATGTTTTATTTTTTCCTGTCTTCAACAACTTTGAAAATTCGATTTTTAGAGTTGAGTCTGTTATAATTATGAGAATAATTGAAATTTAAATATTGTGATTTTGTAGCAATGTGTTGCTAGCTGCATATAATAACTTTGTAGCTAGCTACAAAATATCTACAAATTTAAAGCTTGTTGGCAGCGACATATCAAAATTTTTTAGACAGCGATTTAATTACAATATGACGCTAGCTACAATAGCCAGTGGGTCTTTAACTTATTAAGCTAGCTGTTCTTGTAGCCAAATTGCTGTCTTTATCTTTGCAAATATCGATAGCTTTTTGCTAACTTAAAAAGCTTGTAATCCTTGTAGCTGAATTGCTGTCTTTATTGCTACGATTATAGCTAGGTATTCGTTAGCCGATTTCCCACTGGGTCAAGTTTTAGAGAATCTTTGTGAACTAGTTAAGTAAGTGTTTTATTTATGTACAAACAGAAAATATAACTAATTAAATTTTACTTTATTGGCTTTTAATTTTAATGAAGTGCTATTAGAAAACATAATTACAGTGAATGCTTGAATTTAACTTTATTGACCTTTAATTGTAATAAAGTGTGCTCATTACTAAATTTTTTTGAATAATTAACTTTAATTTTTTTGTTGTTATCTCTTTTTATTTTATTTTGCTAAAAAGAAAATTCGTTGTATACGTATTTAAACACTGGATCAAAAAAGTGCACAAAACATAACTAAAATAACATAACACATAAAATAAGACACAAAATACACTTTAAAAAGTACACAAAACGTAACTAAAATAACACATAAAATACACTTTAAAAAGTGCACAAAACATAACTAAAATAACACACAAAATACACTTTAAACTTACTTAAAGAACAAAGTAAAAGCGCTAAAAATAATAAATAAATGGTTCGTTAAATCTTTTTTAATTAATTGCAAATTCTAAATGAATGAGTTTAGTAGTTAGGTAAAATTTAAATTGCTGGAAATTAGCAAGGAAAGGGGCCCGGTGACAACAGATCTGTTTTATTGCACAGTGGTCCAGGACTTGCCATAAACAAATAAAAAAAAGCCTCCTCGACTGTAGTGGCCTTCATGGTATTGGGGAGGTGAATTAACATTAAATAAAAAAAGATATTCAGGAAAAATCAAATAGTTTGAGATCAAGTTTTAATATTTGAAGGTTAAAGGCATTTTTGATTACTTGCTTAAAAAAAAAATGAAAATGAGTCATATAAATTTTATTAGTGAAGAATCAAAAATTGAAATTTGTATATTGATTTCTCAATCCCAAGTACAATCCTATAAATAACTGAAAAATTTATGAAAGCCTTTAAAAAGAATAGGTTGACAGAAATGTTACAAGAAATGGTTAAACAGGGAATTTATTGTAAATTAGAGCATTTTCTTTCCTTAACTTAAGCTCATTCATACAATATGTAAAGGCACTCTTTTCAAGTTTTCTTACTTCTATCTTTACTATTTAATCCTGAAGCTGCTAGCTCTCTACATGCTGATACCTAAATCACTGTAATCTTCAACTAACAAACATTGTTTGATACAAAAATATTTTTCTAATTTGTTCTTGTAATTCTTACTCATCTTCATTTTTTTCTTTTATATACAACCTACAACTTTTTAAGTCTTCAGTTAAATATTTCCTAGTTTTTTAACCCTATCCTCTATTTCAAAGTAACTCATAATTTAATAGTGGTTGCTTGCAACCTTCTTGGAAGTAAATATATAAATATATGCCAATATTTAATAAATAGTAAATGTAAGTATAACATTACAATATATAAAATATTATAATTTTTTTTTCTAGCCTCAGCTATCAACCCCCACTAAATCTTATAATTTTGCCTGGGCTGGGGCCGAGTTTGAAAAAAGTCTCATTTTTAGCCAGGACTGAGACAAGAACCTCAGTCACTTCCTAACTACAGTACTTCTGTAAATCTTCAAGGAATAATGGATCACACTGCAACTGAGCTCAACTCAACAACAATAGGCTCATTTTAAGTCAAGCACAAGTTAAAATGTATTATGATTGATGGTAAAGTTTCCCCACTTCTGTCTCCATTGGAGAAAGAAGTGTAAAAAGTTTCATTTTTATCAGGTCTGCAATATTTGTGGATTAAGTCCTAAAAAAATGAATAACTTTAAAATTGCTTACAGTAAACAACCTAATCTTTGGACCTAGCAATCCACTCTTTCCATTCATTGTTTTGAACGTCTTTTACATATTGGACAGAGAAGACAACCAGGATATAATAATAATGGGTTTTTTTATGCAAACACAACTGAAAAAAAAACAATTAGTTGCATGCAGAAAAAAAGAAGTTTAGAAAAAAAACTAAAAAAATTTGGACTTGTTATTGATGTTCCAAAAAGCGAAGGCTCTGGTATATCCAATGAAGTAGACTCTCTGGTACATCCAATAAAGTAGAGGCTCTAGTACATACAATGATAGAAGCTCAGCAACAGGGGTATTAAAAAGCCATAAAACCTTGGCTGAATTACTTGGAGTTGATAAAGGTCTTGTTAAAAGATTCTAGATTAGCCTTTGTGTTTTGTCTTGTAAGCATCCAATTGATCCAGATATTCACAAGATAGTTGCTTTTTGATACTGAGTTGTTAAAAATTAGACGGTTCCATAGACCTCTTATCTGAAGTAGCTCAGGAGAGCAAAAGTAAAGTGTCAAAAAATTTTGAGAACACTTTACATGGAAACTTTTTTGGAAACTCAAAAATGAGGATATAATGTGAAGATCCCTCTGCTTATCAGACTCCTTCATCACTTCTATGAGGTGAAGTTTAGAATAAAAGAAGGAGTTTGCTATTTTGAAAAAATGTTACGACCTTGTATTGCAAAATTCTTAGTAAAATATCTAGTATACTCATATCTAACTGATTGCTGCATTGATGATATGGTTCCTAAATAGATTTACAGTACGCAACACTATGCTTCACACTAAAGTTTTTAAATCCTAGATACTATTAAATTACTTTAAATAATTAGTATGTAACATATGTTATGTATTGTTCTTACTTTGTGTCCTTGATGTTGTCCTGGCCATGTTACTCTTCATGTTTATGCTGTGTAACAAGATGTCATAAACCATGTCTTAGGTTTATTTAGTTAAAAGATCTTAAAAAATATGTCTGTTATAATATAATAAATGTATAAAAAATAAGTATGTCAAATGTTTTGTTATACTATTTGTTCTTGGTGTCCTATAAATGTGTGATCATTCTTTAATTAAACAAAAATCTCATATGCTGGTGAAGATTTATAATCAATAGAACATAAAAAATTTAGTATGAAACATGTGTCACATATTTATTATTAATTATGTCATTTGTCGTTGGGTTTGTGTCATTGGTATGTCCATCAGAGGCATGGTGAGGGACATTACAATAATAACTATAATAGGCCAGAATATAATAAAAATCCACCACAAGTTTCAGATTATGAGCTTCAAAAATGAAAAAGATATGATTATTGCCTAGAAATGACATTTCTGGACCACTGTACATCAGGTAACTTAAATTGCTTTGTTTTACAAACCATTCTAAATGAATCTTTGTTAAATAAAGCTAAATTGCTTTGCCGTACAAACCATTCTAAATGAATCTTTGTTAAATAAAGCAAAGTTGCTGGTAAGATAGTTGGTTATTTTGAAGTTTGTATTCTTGCAATATTTAAAATTTTCAGTTTATTTTTCACTAACTTTTTAAAAGTAATAAATTATTAATAGTTGCAAAAACAAAGATACAAATTTATAAAAATAAAACAAAATAAAATCTTAATATATTTTTATTATTTAATAAGTTTGTAAAAAAAAAAACAGATGACTTAAACATAACTTCAATTGTAGAAAATTAACAAACAATGATTGGTGTCATAAGAAAGTAAGCAAAAAGGCATTTTTTTTTTTATAATAGCAATTAAATCCTTCAACTTTTATTTAAAACTTTTAAATTATTTTAATATTTAATAAACCTGTATTATGCCTAAAATTTTCAAATAATTTAAATTTACTCATAAAAATATAAAAATTTATTTCATCAAAAAAAATTAAAATCTAAGTTAAATAGTCATTAAATAATAATAAAAATAATCTTTATAATATAAATGACTTAATAATATTTGAGGCAGTTGAGTCTTTAATGTAATATTTGAGGCAGTTGAATCTTTTATATAATATTTGAGGTAGTTGAGACTCTTTAGTCACAATAAAAGCAGCTTACCTAGGAGAAACTAATAATAATAACCTAATTCAATACTAGGTATAGATAGGAGCTCATTAACTTTGAATGGTTTTCTTTCTAGTGGGAGTACCACAGTAAAAATATTCAGTTCTGATAAAAATTATGAAACATTTCTATTATCCATACTATTTGTCAATAAAAAAGTCAGAAACTTTTCTGAAGCTTTTCATTTTTTACAATTGTCAAAATGATTTTTCTACCACTATAAAGTTTAGTCTTTTTTCTTAACAAGAAATTTTTGATATTCTTTTTTTTAAATATTTCTTGCTAAATAATCTATTTTATTGGTTGTATATATAATTAATGCCACTGTATTTGAAGGGTGTATATATAATTAATTTTAAGGATGTGAGTCACCATTAGGAATGACAGATGGCGCTATAAGTTTTTATCAATTTTCCTATTCTTCTGCTTATGAAGATCTGTTGCCCGATAACGCACGATTTGGCAAAGATGCTTGGTGTGCTAGCATAAATGATGACAAACAATATGTGGAGGTTTTTTGATTTTAACTATTTTCAGCATAAATAAATAAATATATATATATAAATATATATATATATATATATATATATATATATATATATATATATATATATATATATATATATATATATATATATATATATATATATATATATACATACACACACACACACACACACACACACACACACACACACATATATAATTATAATTAAAAACAGAAAAGAAAAATATTTTATTATGGAACTTTAAGTTTCATCCCGAATGGCAATCATCAGCCATATATTACAAATTTAAAAATTAAACATTAAAATTACAATTAGAATTAGTGGCGTGAGTTCATGACTTCATAGAAACAAAATTTTAAAAGTTTTAAAAGTATAACATGGCATAAACCTAATTATAAACTGCTATGTTTTGAAATTTATATATAATCAAAATAAAATCCTAAATATTGAGTACTTATGTATATATATATATATATATATATATATATATATATATATATATATATATATATATATATATATATATATATATATACATATATATATATATATATATATATATATATATATATATATATATATATATATATATATATATATATATATATATATATATATATATATATATATATATATATATATATATATATATATATATCGGTGGTTAAGAGCATAAAGGGAATATGTCCACTAACCATTGTTTTGAGAAATCTGAATTTGAAAGTTTGAAAACATACAATAATTCATGATATTTATTTATTGTCATGATTTTTAACCAAATGCATTCCTCAATTAATTCTGTCTTGTTTTTTACTATTTTATTTTCATTTCTTTTACATACTTTAATACCTAATTTGTTTAATGTTTACCTAATGTTTAATATTGGACATATTCCCTTTGTGCTCTTAACCATCGATATATACATACACAGACACTACCATCCATAATTATCCGAATGACATAAACCTTTTTTAAAAATGAATTTAATTTGATAATTTTTTAATTTTTAAATTTTTTTTTTTTGCGCTGTTAGTTAATTTAATAAACATAAAATTATTTTGATTAAAATGTTTTGATAAAGATCATGAAAATAATAGAAATGGGCAAAACTACATAAAAAATAGAATGACTGTAAACGTGGACCATGGTGTTGAAGTTTTAAATCTATGTTTTCAAGAGAAGATTGTTAGTTCAAAGAAAAGTTGTGAAAGGTCATAAAACATTATTAACTGTGAAACATAGTAGATGTGGTGTTAAGGTGTGGGGCTGTTTTGTTCGAAATGACAGGTAAAAATGGAAGGAATAATAACAAAAGTAATTTATTAGGATGACTTTTTATTTTTATAAATCGTGCTATTCCTTTTGGAAGTTAGACTAGTGGGAAGCCATTTATTTTTTAGAAGAAAACAACACAAAGCTTCATAACATAATCCAAAACATAATTTTCAGAACATTGTATTAGTTCATTGACTAAATTAGAGAATGATCAAATATTGAAAAGAATGATTTTGCCTCCCCAATCACCAGACCTCTCTCCTATAGAAATTTTATGGAATAAATTAAAACTAATGCCAAAAAGGAATGACTAATGATGCAAAAATTGTGGAAAAAACTTATTAGTGAGTGACATAAAATTGACTTCAAAAATTGGATAAGTCTTTATGTAAAATGCCAAGAATATCTATGCAGTTTTTATTGCTAGGAGGGATTATATAGACAAGTAAGTTATTAAATAACCTAATGGAATTTTATATTAATTTTTATATTAACTTGATAAATATAAAAATAAAATATAAATCAGGCAGATTTTGCCTTTAGTTTCTCTCCCAATATAAGTAAAACATTTATGTTTTGTATTGAAAAGTATGACAACTTGAATATTTATGGATGGTAGTATATAAATATATATATATATATATATATATGTATATATATATATATATATATATATATATATATATTATATATATATATATCAACCACAAAAATTTTTTTTTTTAAATGTAGGAACATTCTAATGCAATACTTTATAAAATTAAAATAAAAACAAAATAAAATTTTCTAATTCTGTTCTAAATATTTATTATTTAAAAACAATATATATTTTTAAATAAAAATTTATACAACAACTATTTTAGCTTTTTATGGTTTTTATATTTTATGTAACTGTAAAATTGGAGAAACAAGTTGTAAAAAAAAGAAAATTAGTGTTTTTACTAATTTAGAATTACTATGTTCTTTAAGAACATTAAACACTCTATTTGTAGAATACACTAACATTTACATATATATATATATATATATATATATATATATATATATGTATATATATATATATATATAAATATATATATATATATATATATATATATATATATATATATATATATATATATATATATATATATATATATATATATATATATATATATATATATATATATATATATATATATATATATATATAAATAACCTAATGGAATTTTATATTAATTTTTATATTAACTTGATAAATATAAAAATAAAATATAAATCAGGCAGATTTTGCCTTAAGTTTCTCTCCCAATATAAGTAAAACATTTATGTTTTGTATTGAAAAGTATGACAACTTGAATATTTATGTATATATATATATATAAGCCTTGGCAGCTTTGTTATTAACAAAACCATTTTTATTTGGATATATATATATATATATATATATATATATATATATATATATATATATATATATATATATATATATATATATACTTTTTTTGTGTTTGTAATAAAATTAAGGTGTTGTTTCAATCAAAGTCAAAAATTACAGCCATCTCTACATGGGGAAGAAAAACATTTGCATCCTGGGTTAAAAAATATAAGCTCATGTTTAGTGATGATGGTATTAAATGGGAATACTATTCTGAAAATGGATATGGAGCAAAGGTTGGTAGTTTTTTGTCTAATACAGTTAATGCTATTGTATAATTTACATATATGTATATTTATATATATTTATATGTATATATTATATATATTATATATATATTGTATGTTTATATATATTTAAAGGGGAGAGTAGAAAGATTATAAAAATCTTGGTGTTGAAAGATGCGATTAAAATTAAGTAGTGAAGTAATGTAAGTCAAATTCTATACTCAGGGCCACAATATATTTACCAAATATATTGTTGAATAAGTTTTTAATTCCATTTTTAAATACATTATCTATAAATCCTTTTTGAGAGACTTTGTCAAAAGCCTTGGCAGCTTTGTTATTAACAAAACCATTTTTATTTGGATTTATTCTTTTATTTGCATTTAGGGGATTCATAATAGCATTTTTTTTGTTGGTAGTAAGTGAATATTCAAATGTTTAAATACATATCTTTATTTTTATTTCCAGGACTCTTTTAATATTAATATGTTCTTTGTAAAGCAATTGACATTTTTACCTTAAGATATAACAGTGCCAGAGTTTGTTTTAGTAATTAATTTGGTAGAAAAAATTGTTGTTCATCAATATCTCTTATAGTCTCTTTGTATTTTTTTACTTAAAAAGGAATTAAAAAATTTTTTATATTGATCTAAGAATGTTGAATAGCAATAATAAATAATTGACTTATTGGATATAAATAATTATTTAATAAATAATAAATAACTGACTTAATGGATAATAAATCTTTCCAATTCATAGTTTGGATGGTTCTGACATTTTATTATGTTTTCCTCAATTATAGTTATATTTATGACTGGATATTCTATATCTCATTTGCTAGATCTTAGTTCCACAAAATAGTTCTTTGTTCTTTTTTTTGTTGAGCTGAGTGGAGAAAAATTGGTTATAACACTGATTTTCTTAAAATTAATGTATTAAATATTCTAGGGTGTTATTGAATATATAACATACTATTAAACTTTTGACCTGGGTTATTTTCATTCACATTTATTGATATATAACTGTATTTGGACCATTTAGCATAAGAGAAATTGACATCTCTAGCAATAAAAAAGTCTTGTTTTTTCTTATTTTTTACTAAAAATTTATATCTGTAATTAAATTTGGTATTTCATTGTCAATTGCAGAATTGGGAGAGTTTCGGATTATATTTTTGTTCAGGTACAATTATTCATTCTTGGCTGTAGACCTACATCTACAGATCTACAGCTGTTGATATAGCAGAGAATGATCTACAGCTGTTGATATAGCAGAGAATGATTGATTTGTTGTTGGAGTAAACAGAGCAGCAGATCTGTTCAAAAGCTGTTATTTATAAGCTACTATTAAGAGATACGCTTTGAATTTGAGGGGAAAAACATACTATTAGTAATATAGATTGCTACTCCATCTTCAGCAAGTAGATAATTTTTGTTTGAATTAATAGATTGAATTAAGGATATAGTGTTGGTGCATGCAAGTTGTCTTCTAGATAAACTTTAAGTGTTTAGTTACGACTTCGATGGAGAATTATACAATAGTGTTTGAAATTGAGGTTTTTGCTAATGCATTTTTGAGTATTTCTTAAGCTTTTTTACTGGAAAAGGGGTGTAAGATGTGGTCATTAATGAAAAGATCATAATGACATCAACACAGTGGACCCTTTCACATGACTTATCAAAAGGGGGAGTTAAGTTTGCCATTTTTTTTCAAATTTGTTGTTAGGCTCTTTTTTATTTGAGTAGGATGTTAAAGTATGTTGGTTCAGGTGGTATGCAGCCTAGTCTGATGAAAATTTTTTTGGGAAGGTATTAGCTAGGTTTTTAGCAGGTAGTATGATATCTTTAAGTGTGATTTGATTTTCTAATTAAACAACTAAATTACCTGTATATATCCTACATATGCTTAATAAAACATCAGCTTTACGAAGAATTGGTATAGATTTTTGTCTGTGAATACGCACGGTTTTTACATTTTATTTTTTTTTAAACATCTTCGCTTTCAACAAGGCTGCAAGCAACCACTAATTAGTGTTAGAAGTTACTGGAAGAGAAAAGATGAAGATTGTAGAGCAAGATAACATTGACAGAAGACTTAAAAGATTGCAAATTATATAAATCAGGAAAGCAAGATGAAGGAAGCGAATTCCAAAGAACTGATGTTCAAGGAAAAATACTAGATGAATAAGAGTTTTTGGATCACTTAGGAACAGTAACAGAAAAAGGATGAGACTTAATTGAATGACGAGTAACACGAGAATGAATTTTAGTAGATGGCACAAGAGACGCTAGCTCTTTAGAGTAGTGCCCATTATAGTATTTGTAGAAAAAAGAAAGAGAAGCAACATTACGACGATGTGACAGAGGTTGAAGGTTGGCTGCAAGAGCAGGTCCAACTATTTTTATAATGTGTTTTTGCACCTTGTCTAAATAAAAAAAGGGCATCATTAGAAGATCCACCCCAGATATGGCAACAGTATTCCATACAAGGCCGGATTTGAGATTTATAGAGATAGAGAATAGAATCCAGAGTAAGAGAGTGATGAGCTTGATAAAGAGAAGCGACTTTAGCAGATGCTAATTTTGCAACGGATTTGATATAAGGTTTCCAAGAAAGATCAGAAGTAAGAGTTAATCCTAGAAGATGAAGGGTAGATGACTCATCAAGTACATTACCGTTCATAAATATAGGAAAGTCTAAACTATTGTGATACAATTGGCCTAAAAAAATTGAGTTTTATCTGAATTAAAGTTCACCAGCCACTGTGAGCCCCATGCTGTAGCAGAAGTGAGATCCTTTTCAAGCTCAGATGCCCCCTGCAAGCAATCAGAGGGAGTTGGCTTCTTATTATGACAAGAATAAATAGTAGTATCATCAGCAAACAATGCCACCTTAGATGTGAGAATATCAGGAAGATCGTTAATGTATATTAAAAAGAGTATAGGGCCGAGGATTGAACCTTGAGAAACCCCTGAGGTTACAGAAAAAGAAGAAGAGTGCTGTCCATCAAGGACAACTTTTATACTACGATTGGAAAGGAAGGATTCAATAATCTTAAAGATGTTTCCAGATACACCGTAAAAAGAAAGCTTATGGAGAAGACCAGCATGTCAAACTTTATCAAACGCTTTAGAAATGTCAAGAGCGATGGCTTTAACCTCTCCACCTTTATCTAATACGCGATAAAATCTATCGGTTATTACTGCTAGCAAATCAGCTGTAGAACGAGAAGATCGAAATCTATATTGATGATCAGAAAGTAGGTTATGAGATTCGAGATAAGAGATTAAGTGTTTGTTAATTAAAGATTCAAAAACCTTGCTTATGATAGGAAGAAGACTAATGGGACGGTAGTTAGACAAATTGGATCGCCCTCCAGAATTTTTAAAAATAGGGATAACAGATGCTGCTTTCCAGCAGGCTGGAAAACAAGACTCTGATAAGCACTTGTTAAATAGTTTTAAAAGGATAGACGACAGCTCCAGAGAACACTTCTGCAAGACTATAACGGGTATGTTGTCCAAGCCGCTATGTTGTCCGAGCCGCAAGCTGTAGAAAAGTCCAAGCAGGAAATCACTTTAGATACAGAAGCTGGGGTGATGTCAAGCAATGGATCAACCTGTATGACGGCTATATTTTTTTTTTTTTTTTTTTAATTCACCTCCTCAAGGCCGAGAAGGCCACTACAGACGAGGAGGCTACTTGTTTGTGGCTATAACCCTCTCTCAACTCTATAACTCTGAAACACGAACCTTGGCGAACAAGGCCGCTGCGCGGAGAAACGAGTTGAGCGCGGTACTACCAGGGACGTGGTGGGGATCGAACTCGGAAATTCAGATCAAATATCAGGTAGAACGCAATTAGTGGAGTCAAGAGATGATATTGATGAAAAGCTCTTGGCAAACATTTCAGCTTTGTCTTTAGGTGAGGTGACAAAGTCTGAACCATACAAAAGAGGTGGAATTACAGACTTGCCCTTATTATTGATACTATTAAAGATTCTCCAGAAGTCACGAGAGCCTAATTTTTGTGATGAAATACGAGATTTCATGATCTGAGAATAGCGGGTTTTGGTGTTAGACAAAACCTTTTTACAATGGTACCTAGCAGTAATAAAGAGACGTCTGTTTTCTGGAGAATTGTTTTGCTGATAGATATGGAAGTAATGGTTTCGATTGGCAATTGCAGCAGCACAATGTGAGGAAAACCATGGAGAAGAGTGAGGCTTGACCTGGAATCGTCGAGAGGGAATAAAGGATTCCATGCCAGCCTGAATCCACGAAGTTATGTAAGAAGCACATTTGTCAACAGGAAGACAAAAGATTTCTACCCAGGGGCCATCACGAAGAAAATTACGGAAAGAGTCCCAGTCAGCTTTTAGGTAGTAGTAAGATGTACAATGATAGGGGGATTCTAGTGGTAAAGAAAAATAAGATAATAGTTTTAGAGAGACCAAACCATGATCAGAAGCACCTAAGGATGAGTGTGGAGAAACTGAGCACTGACTAGGATTAGAAACAAGACATAAGTCGAGTAGAGAAGGTAAATGATTCCGGTTGTCTGGAAAGTGAGTTGGAAAGTTGACTATTTGAGTTAGGGATTGAGAAAGACAAAAGTTGTGGGCCTTAATGCCTGCGGAGTCACTGACACTAGAGCCAAGCCATTTAGTGTGAAGAATAATAAAGTTACTGACAACAACAATATTGGCTGATGGATAAAGAATGAGGGCTTGGTCAATATAATCAGAAATAACATCAAGAAGAATGCAGTCTTGAGATGAAGGAGAGCGATATAGAACAAAGAAAAAAGCGATAGAGTGAAGCGGTGCTAAACAAAAGCACATAAAAGAGTAGTCTGTGTATTCAAACCTAGTTTCCCGACAAATGTGTGAATTCTTACATATGTAAATGCCCAGGCCAAGCATGTGACTATTGGAGTCTTTACGAATTAAAGGAAGATAAACATCAACACTAAGATCACAAGATGAGGCAGTTGAACTCAAATTAGTCTCACAAAGAGCAAGTTGGTCTGGTGAACTTTGCAAGAGATAAGACTCAACAGAAGAAAAGTTACTTTGAAGACCATGAATATTGGTGAATGATAGATTTAGCGAACTTGGTGATGACTGTGGTTTTTTGCGTTTTATAGTTTTTCTTACTTTATTCATTTTTAAATTTGTTAAAGAACTTGACTCGAAGCATAGATAGTACTCAGTACACTGTTTTATAGCCCAAGAAATTGCCTCATTTCCACTAATAAACACTAAGCCGTAACAAAGGGCTCCAATGTGGCCTTGGCAATGCACACCAAAAGTACAAACAAGGACACCATCCATGCGCAACATGGCACTGTTAGTACTCTGATATTTTTCAGCTGTTGATGGAATCAGCCTCTCTGAGAGCTACCACAGAGTTCGGGAAACCTGACTACCAGCTGGCCTCAGAACCATAAAACTGAGTTTTAGAGCTGTACCCTCATTTGGAGATAATAGAATGAGTTGCTTAGTCATAAAAAAAGAGACACAAGCAAAATCCATGCATCGAGTCAAGGAGATTTCAACGGAGATTTCCAGCGTTCAACATCTTAATCTGGAAACAATGTACTAAAAATACATCTGCGCCAGCCTTATAGATGGAGAAGGGGTGCGAGGCTGGTCAACAGATAGAATCTGTTTACCCCTTAAAGACTTTATGATTAGTTTGACTGAGGAGATGTCATAATATGCATTTTTATTGATGTTATTTATATTTATACATGTATGCAGTGCTCGAAATTGAGAAAAACTAATAACAGAATAGTTTTTAGAAAATTAAAAGTAAAATCATTGCTATACTAGGTTTATAAAAAAATGGTTGGATGGTTTATAATTTATAAGAAGATCACAAGGTCACATCCTATATATATATATATATATATATATATATATATATATATATATATATATATATATATATATATATATATATATATATATATATATATATATATATATATATATATATATATATATATATATATATATATATATAATTTAGAGAGAGAGAAAATGAAAGAGAGAGTTAGACAGATATTATTATGACTATATGATGTATCTAAAAGTTATGTATTTATTTAATATATTTATTTAAAGTATTAAGGTATTATCATATATCTATATCTAAAAGTTTAAAAATCATTTTATAGATTTTTATTGCTAACATTGATCAAAATACTGAAGTGAAACAATGGTTATTGAAAGCTATAACTGCAAATTATTTGAGAATTCAGCCTATTGATTGGCATGAAGCCATTTGCTTGAGATTTGAATTGTATGGCTGCCAACACAGCACTGTCAGTAAGAAATTATGTTGTTTTTTATATAATAACGATATATAAAGATATGAAGATATTTTATGTGATATGGTGTAAAATTGTTAATGTATGATAATGATAGTTTTAAAATTTTTTAGGCTGATTTCTGAGTGTTATAATTTTTGTTAGTATAATTGTATATAATATATATAAATGATATATAATATATATAAATGATATATAATATATATAAATGATATATATATATATGTATATATATATATATATATATATATATATATATATATATATATATATATATATATATATATATATATATATTTATATATATATATATATATATATATATACATATATCTCATATATTATATATATATATATATATATATATATATATATATATATATATATATATATATATATATATATATATATATATATATATATATATATATATATATATATATATATATAAATGTATATATATATATGTATATATATATATATATATATATATATATATATACATATATATATATATATATATATATATATATATATATATATATATATATATATATATATATACACACATATATATGTATATATATATATATATATATATATATATATATATATATATATATATATAAATATATATATAATAAAATTTAAAAAAAACTATTTTTTTATACACTCCATAATATACTGGGAAAAAAGTAAAAAAACTGGATACAATTTTAACAAATGAATGTTTATTTTATTTAAAAGACATATATACCAAAAATTATCATTTTAGGTTCATTTTCATGCTTTGCGCCAGACCTGTAACAATTGTTGACACTTTAATGGTTGCAATTAATCCATCAATGAAATCCATGTTTTTCTGGTGGTGGGTCTTCTAATGAAAATAGAACTCTAATTTTTTTATATATGCTTAGATATTTTATAGAAATAAAATAATCAGCAGTGCATAAACCCTAAGCCGTAACAAAGGGCTCCAATGTGGCCTTGGCAATGCACACCAAAAGTACAAACAAGGACACCATCCATGCGCAACATGGCACTGTTAGTACTCTGATATTTTTCAGCTGTTGATGGAATCAGCATTTTGATTACCCGCTTAAAAAAAAAAAAGGGGGAACCCACCCAGTCAATCTTTTTTATATAATAAACAATGGTAAAAATCTAGAAAACAAAAATTACAAAAATCAAAAAAAAAAATCAACTAGCTGTCATAAGTAGCCTCATGGTCACTAAACAGTTGTTCTACAGTATTACCATCAGGAAACAAATCAATGCTGCTATCTGGTTTAGTATCCTTCTCACAGAAGCTGAATATATTTACATCTTCTATAATAAGAAACTCTTACAAAGGTTGAGTTGGAGTTTTCTGTTCAGCTTATTTGCCGTAGGCAGGTTTGATCTTTGAAGAAAGCATAGTTCAGTTGTTTATGAATTTGAGCAGTTTTGTAGCTTATGCTCGAACTTAACTTGACACACTGTTTCCTGTTCCAGCTTTACAGCCCTCTTGCTACAATCATTATTGACAGCCAAGTTTTTGACGTACGATTGGAACTCCAAATAATAAAAATTAATGTTCCAGCAGCTAGCTGGATAAATCATTCATTTAGACTTGTCATGGCCTAAAATCTCAAATTATCCATCAATCAGCGGTGATGAAGTCAACCAGTTCTGGCTGCTTGTTAAGTACAGACATGTCTTTTGTTTCAGGTAAGAAACCTTTATTGTTATGTTTATCTATGTCATAGTCATTTTGTATTGGTATGTTATTAAGCTTTTGGTGATCATCTCCTTTTCTTGTTCAGTGATTGAATCATATAAATTTGCCAGCACAGTTTGAATAACAGTTGAGTCCAGGTGCCAGCTATGGTTTCCTGATAATTTGAACACTGCACTTGCAGCAGGTTCATCCTAAAAATCAGGGTTGCAAAAAAAACGTTTTTTTAAAAAAAACCAAAAACCATAGGTTTTTTTAAAAAAACCAAAAAGACCATGGTTTTTTTGATTTAAATTAAGTTTTTACTAAAAAATGCGGTATTTAGTTATCTTTTTAAATTAAAAAAAGCGTAACGTATTTTATTTGAGTAAACTATATTCTTTATAAATATTATTGTTATATTTCATCAAAATTTTTCAATGTATCATTGTTTAATGTTCTATATATAAATACAAGCTTTGCCGCTTTTTCTAACTCCAATTGGTTTCTTAACTTAGAAAGAACAAGACCAAAAGTTGAAAAAATTCTTTCAAGTCCAGCACTAGAAGCTGGTGCATTTAATAAACCTTCAATATCCATTATGTTATAGTAGATTTGGCTTTTAATTTGAATAATATTGGTAACAAATTCTTGAACTCTTTATCTGCAAAATTCATGGCAGCGTCATTTCCTAATCAGATCTAATCAGAAAGGTTAGATCCAAAATATCTAGGATCTAGTGTGTTTACCAGGAAATGGCCATCATTGATAGTCTTAAGTTATCTAGATTTTTTTTTTTTTTTCGTTTGTTAAAAATGATAAAATGTTCATCAAATCTTTAAAAATTTCAAGAGTCACTTATTTTTGTTTGATCTCTTAGCAACTTATCTACAGCTACTGCAATTGGTTTCAATATTTTCAATAAATCTTCTGTGTTTTGCTTTATCTGTATATCACTTACTTTTTTACTAATCATGGGATCCAAGTCTTTATTTTTTTCAAACAATGTGAAAATAATGCTCCAGTTGTTGACATTTTTCAAATGAATCACGTACAGAATTCCAGCAAGTTTCAGTAGGAAGTGGCAATTTTGTTCCTCAGCTTAATTTATAAATTGCTCCAGCTTGATGATTATTTCTTATTTATTTTATTATTTAAAAAATAATAAAATAAATAAGAAATAATCATCAAGCTAGAAATAATCATCAAGAAAATAATGCTCCAGTTGTTGACATTTTTCAAATGAATCACGTACAGAATTCCAGCAAGTTTCAGTAGGAAGTGGCAATTTTGTTCCTCAGCTTAATTTATAAATTGCTCCAGCTTGATGATTATTTCTTATTTATTTTATTATTTGTGTAACATGCTTGTTCACATTTTCAATGTTCAGATCATTTGCTAAAAGATTCAGCAAATGAGCACCACACCCATAAGTTATGATAATATCTCTTTCAGATGACAATACTTGTCTCATTAGTTTCATATTAGCTGCATTGTCAGTCACAAAGCTTTTTACTGTGCATCTAAATTTACGTCTTACAAAATCTATTGCTTCTCTTCGTAATTGTGTAAGATATTCACCAGTACGTGAATGACCAGAAGTGCTGATTGTTTCTACTAAAATGTTAATTTTATCTGTAATTACAGAGATACAAACTAACTGGCATGATACATAGCACCAGATTTTTTAAATTTGCAGATATAGCTTGGGTCCAGGAACATAAGACATAACTCTGCTAGCGCATGGTAGTAATCTCTTTTTTTACCAGTCTAAAATTTTATCATGTTTTTATTGAATGTTTCCTATATCTAGATACTATAATGCCATGAAAAAAATGCTACTAAATGATTATATAGAGTTTTAATAAATATCTGCTTACAATAAATTTAAACTAACATCTGAATTTTTGAAAGCTTTGATTTTTACTATCTCCATAACTCAATTCTTTGCTTCAATGGCTTTAGCTTCTAGCCAAGTTAACCACAAATGATTGCTTGAGCTTCTAGCCAAGTTAATCACAAATAGATTTCCATTCAAACCTATTCAGTGGCAACTTTCAGTGTCAATGGAGTGCCATTAATCATTCGCTTTGAATAGTCTTGCGATCTGATATCTGATCTCTAATAAAGGCTTTTATTAGAGATCAGGCCCCTCCTTTCTTTTTCAGAGAGTGAGTGAGGTCAGCTTCTCCCCCACCCCACCCCCCTCCTTTTTTTTTTTAGGTGGTTAATCAAAATACACTGCTGATTGTTTTGTTTCTATAAACTATTTAAACATACATAAAAAAAATCAGAGTTCTATTTTCATCAGAAGACCCACTGCAAAAAAAACCTGGATTTCATTGATTGATTGCTTGTAACTGGTAAAAAGTGTCAACAATTGTTACAGATCTGGAGCAAAACATGAAAATGATCCTTTCAATGGTAATTTTTGGTATATATCTTTTAAATAACATGAACATTCATTTGTTAAAATAGTATCCAGTTTTTTAATTTTTTTCCCGGTATATTATGCAATTTATATAAAAAAAGAGGCCAGCTCGAGGTAAAAATTAATTTAAAAAAAATAACAGTTTTTCATTTATTTATTATAGCTTGCAAAAAACTGCTTATTTGTTAGTGAAAATATTTCCATGACCTAATTTTTGAAGACCCCTAATATATATAATATTATAAATCAATTATATTAACAATTATATATACAATTATGTTAACAACTATATATATATATATATATATATATATATATATATATATATATATATATATATATATATATATATATATATATATATATATATATATATATATATATATGTATGTATGTATGTATGTATATAAATAAGTTTAATTTTGTTGTGAGCATATATTCAGCAAGAGTGCTCGATGAATGATATCAGAGCTATATAATTGTTTTTTTTTTTTTTTTTGACAAGGTTAAATAAAAAATAACTACATAATTTTTACTACTAAACGTTTCATGCGTTTAGCAATCATCAGGTAAAAAATACATTGTTTTTTTTTTGTTAAAAAATATACTCAATAAACATTGTGGCATTCAAAAACAATTATAAAATGTTAACTATTTACAAGCGTTTGGTTTTTTAATCTTTGGGCTCGTGGTTGTCAAGCAAGAATTTATTTTCATGACAGCACTTAGATATTATTTCTGTTTTTTTTATTTAATAGTTCCTGCATAACTTTGTATGATATTATGCAAAGTTTTTCATGAAGACAAAGCAAGCATTTTTTTTTGTTACGTTGCTGTAGGCTGGGACTTGTTTAATTATTGACCAGATTAA